TCTTTTTTTTTTTAAAAAAAAAAAAAAAGATTTATTTATTTATGATGTATACAATGTTCTGCTTGCATGTTTGCTTGCACTAACCATGGTTTGTGGTTGCTGGGAATTGAACTCAGGACCTCTGGAAGAGCAGCCAGTGCTCTTTCTGAGCCATCTCTCCAGCCCAATTTATTTCTTTTGAGCATAAATAATATTTTATGGACCTCTGCCAGAAAAGGCCTGAGACAGTGACCTCTACAGGAGAAGGTACAAGAGAGCAACCACCAAGGGAGCAGGTCTAAACCAGAGAACTCTGCAGGACTGGGCCTGAGCCAGAAACCCCCATGGGAGCTATAACCTCAGTGAGGGCAGGCCTGAGTCAGAGACCTCTGCAGGACCGGGCCTGAGCCAGCGACCTTCCTGGGAGCAGGCCTGAAAGACCTCCAGGATTGCAGAACAACCCCCACCCCCAGGAGTGCCAAGCAACCTCCAGAAGACCCAATGACCCCAGGGTGATTGGAACCCTGGCCCTGGCTACACCACAAGGAGCAACCATCTGAGCCTTGGATCCAATGGCACCTGGAAGGTTGATCACCAGAGACACAGCCCCAACTACACCAATCAGAGGAAAAGATGGGTAGACAAGGTAAGAACACACTCAATATCACCAAAGAGCAACACAACACCAACAAAAACTAATGACTCTACAACAGTAAGACCTGAGAACCCCAATATAGATGAAGCAGAAGAAAATGACCTAAAAAATAACTTTAGAAGAATGTTTGAAGCCCTTAAAGAGGAAATGAAAAATTCCCTCAAGGAAATGGAGAAAAAGACAAACAAAAAATGGAAGAAATCAACAAATCCCTTAAAGAAAACCAAGAAAAGGCAATCAAATAGATGAAAGAAATGATTCAAGACTTGAAAACCAAAATAGAGACAATAAAGGAAACACAAACTGAGGGAATTCTGAAAACAAAAAAATATAGGAAAAATGATCAGGAACCAGAAATGCAAGCACAAACAGCAGAATACAAGAGATGGAAGAGAGAATCTCAAGAGGTGAAGATACAGTAGACGAAATAGACTCATTGGTCAAAGAAAACATTAAATCTAACAAAAATTTAACACAAAATATCCAAGAAATATGAGACACCATGAAAAGACCAAACCTAATAATAATAGGGATAGAAGAAAGGGAAGAAGTCTGACTCAAAAACATAGAAAATATTCAACAAAATTATAGAAGAAAACTTTCTCAACCTAAAGAAAGATGTGCATATGAAGATACAAGAAGTTTACAAAACATCAAATCGACTGGATCAAAAAAAAGTCCCCTTGCCACATAATAATCAAAACACTAAACATACAGAACTACACAATAGCTACATAGTAAAGAAAGAATATTAGGAGCTGCAAAGGAAAAAAGCCACGTAACAGATAAAGGCAAACCTATTCGAATTACACCTGACTTCTCAATGGAAACAATGAAAGCCAGAAGGTCCTAGTCAAGCGTTATGCAGACACTAAGAGACCATGGATGCCAGCCCAGACTACTACTATACCAGCAAAACCTTCAATCACCATAGAAGGACAAAAAAAGATGGCAGAACCAGATTTAACCAATACCTAACCACAAACCTAGCCCTACACAAAGTAATAGAGGGAAAACTCCAACCCAAGGAAGTTAGTTAGCTATGTTCACAAAAACATAGACAATTGATGGTTTCACAGCAGCAAATCCCAAAGAAGGGGGAAACACACAATAACATCACCAACAATGAAAACTAAAATAACAGGAACTAGCAATCGCTGGTCATTAATATCCCTGAATATAAACGGACTCAAATCACCTATAAAAAGACACAAGCTAACAGATTGGAAACCCAAACAGAATCCATTCTTCTGCTGTATACAAGAAACACCTCAACAGACATCGCCTCAGAGTAGAGGGTTGGAAAAAGATTTTCAAATCAAATGGACCTAAGAAACAAGCTGGTGTAGCTATCCTAGTACCTAACAAAATAGGCTTCAAACTAAAAATTGATCAAAAGAGACAAAGAAGGACATTTCATGTTAGTCACAGGAAAAATCCATCAGGAGGAAATCTCAATACTGAACATCTATGCCCTGAATACAAGGGCACCCTCATATGTAAAAAACAAACAAACAAACAAACAAACTAGTATAGGAAGTCCTTCTGTCTAGGTGTTGCTTTCATTAATGAATAAAGAAACTGCCTTGGCCTGTTGATAGGGCAGAACTTAGGTAGGCAGGGAAGACAGAACTGAATTCTGGGAGGAAGAAAGCAGAGTCAGAGAGATGCCATGGAGCCACCAGAGACTGACACTGGGAATTTTACCCATTAAGTCACTGCCATGTGGAAATATACAAATTAATAGAAATGGGTTAAACAGTGATTTAATTAATATAATTTCTGTGTGATTTTTTTTGATTCTGGGCGGCCGAGACAAACAAGTGGGCCCTCCTCCTACAAGAAACACTTCTCAAGCTTAAATCATACATTAAACCACAAACACTAATAGTGGGAAACTTCAACACCCCTTTCTTACCACTGGACAGGTCTGCCAGACAAAAAATTAACAGAGAAATAAGGGACCTAACAGATGTTATGACTCAAATGGACTTAACAGACATCTACAGAACATTCCATTCAAACACGAAAGAATAAATCTTCTTAGTACCTCATGGAACCTTCTCAAAAATTAACCAAATAATTTCTAAAAAGCAAACCTCAACAGATACAAAAAAATGGAATAACGCCATGTATCTTTTTCATTTTTTTAAATTGATTTTTATTGAGCTCTACTCATTTTTCTCTGCTCCCTTTCCCATCTCTCCCCACCCCTTCAACTCTGTCCCAAGGTCCCCAAGTTCCCAGTTCACTCAGGAGATCTTGTCTTTTTCTACTTCTCATGTAGACCCATGTATGTCTCTCTTAGTGTCCTCATTGTTGTCTAGGTTCTATGGGATTGTGATTTGTAGGCTGGTTTTCTTTGCTTTATGTTTAAAAGCACTTATGAGTACATATGACAATTGTCTTTCTGGATCTGGGTTACCTCACTCAAAATGATGTTTTCTAGCTCTATCCATTTGCCTGCAAATTTCAAGATGTCATTTTTTTTCTGCTGCGTAGTACTCCATTGTGTAAATGTACCACATTTGCCTTATCCATTCTTTGGTCGAGGGGCATTTATGTTGTTTCTAGGTTTCAGCTATGACAAACAATGCTGCTATGAACATAGTTGAGCACATGTCCTTGTGGCACAGTTGAGCACCCTTTGGATATATACCCAAAAGTGGTATTGTTGGGTCCTGAGGAAGGTTGTGTCTTAATTTTCTGAGAAATTGCCACACTGATATCCAAAGGTGCTGTACCAGCTTGCACTCCCAACAGCAATGCAGTAGTGTTCCCTTTACCCCACAACCTCTCTGGCATAAGTTGTCATCAGTGTTTTTGATCTTGGCCATTCTTACAGGGGTAAGATGGAAATTCAAAGTTGTATTGATTTGCATTTCTCTGATGACTAAGGATGTTGAGCATTTCCTTAAGTGTCTTTCAGTCATTTTAGATTTCTCTGTTGAGAGTTCTCTGTATAGGTCTGTACTCCATATTTTGTTTTATTGGATTGTTCTTTTGATGACCAATTCTTGGAGTTCTTTGTATATTTTGAAGATCAGACCTCCTGTCTGATGTGTGGTTGGTGAAAATTTTTTCCCATTCTGTAAGCTGTCATTTTGTCTTGATGACCATTTCCTTTGCTGTACAGAAGCTTTTCAATTTCAAGAGGTCCCATTTATTAATTGTTTCTCTCAGTGTTTGAGCTACTGGGGTTATATTTAGGAAGTGGTCTCCTGAACCAATGCATTCAAGTGTACTTTCCACTTTCCCTTCAATGAGGTTCAGTGTGGTTGGCTTTGTGTTGAGGTCTTTGATCCATTTGGACTTGAGTTTTGTGCATGGTGATAGACATGGGTCTATTTTCATTCTTCTACATGTTGATATCCAGTTATGCCAGCACATTTGTTAAATATGCTTTCTTTTTACCATTTGATATTTTTTTTGCTTCTTTGTCAAAACATCAGGTGTTCAAAGGTGTGTAGGTTAATATCTGGGACTTCAATTAGGTTCCATTGGTCCTCTTGTCTGTTTTTAGGCCAATATCAGGCTGTTTTCAGTACTGTAGCTCTGTAGTAGAGTTTGAAGTCAGGGATTGTGATGCCTTCAGAAGTTCTTTTATTGTACAAGATTGTTTTGGCTATCCTGTGTTTTTTGCTTTTCCATATCAAGTTGAGTACCGTTCTTTCAAGGTCTGTGAAGAATTTTGCTGGGATTTTGATGAGCATTGCATTGAATCTGTAGATTGCTTTTGGTAAGATTGTCATTTTTACTATGTTAAGTCTACCTACCCAAGAGTATGGGAGATCTTTCCACTTTCTGGTGTCTTCTTCAATTTCTTTCTTCAAAGATTTAAAGTTCCTGTCATGCAAGTCTTCCACTTGTTTGGTTAGAGTTACTCCGAGATATTTTATGCTATTTGTGGCTATTGTGAAGGGTGATGTTTCTCTGATTTCTTTCTCAGTCCATTTATCATCTGTGTACAGGACGGCTACTAATTTTTTGAGTTAATCTTGTATCCTGCTACATTACTGAAAGTGTTTATGATACCTCCATGTATCTTATTGCAATGCCGTGGCTTAAAATTAGAATTCAACAGCAACACTACTTTCAGAAAGCCCACAAACACATGGAAACTGAACAAAGCTCAGCTGAATTACCAATAATAAGTTAAGGAAGAAATAAGAAAGAAATCAAAGACTTCCTAAAATTCAATGAAAATGGCCACAAATCATACCCAAACTTATGTAATGCAATGAAAGCAGTACTAAGAGGAAAGTTCATAGCACTAAATGCCTACATAAAGAAGCTAGAAAAATCCAACATGAGCGACTTAACAATACACTTGAAAAACCTATTTAAAAAAAATAAGCAAACTCACCCAGAAGAAGTTGATGGCAAGAAATAATCAAATTGAGGACTGAAACTAATAAAATAGAAACAAAGAGAATGTAGAGTAAAAGGACCAACTGGAGCAGGAAACCATCTCTGCCCCATCAACTGACCAACTGACCAACTGAATCAACCAATCCCTGAGCAGGAAACCAACCAATCACTGATCATCCTGACTCTGAACCCAGAGCCAGTAAAAGAAATGCACCCTGTAATTGAGACCTGAGCCAGGGAAAGAAACATCTTTATCCTTGAACCCACCACCAGAGAAACATGCTTTGACTCTGAAACCAGTGTCAAAGAAACACATTTTTATCCCTAGAATCAGAGCCAGTGAAAGGAATATGCCCTGGTCCTAAGATTAGAGTCAAAAGGCTAACAGGTAAGAGGGACCAGTGAAAGAAACAGTTTGGCCCTAAGATCAGAGCCATCTCTGCCCCTGATTAACTAAACTAACCAATCCCTGAGCAGGGAAAACAACCAATCCCTCTTTTCCCTGGGAAAACTCTGACTGAGAAGTCCTACATCAGCCTAGAGAAGTCCTACATCATCCTAACTGCCTGTTCAGTTGAGGCAGTTACACTGGCAGAGGCTGCACTCTCCTGGACTCCCTCCCAAATACATCTCTTTCTCAAAAGAGTCTTGGGTGATGATCTTCATTTGCCAGTACAGAATAGAAGAACCTGGCTGGGACGTCCTTTAGGAAACTAAGCTGAAAAACTTTGCTGAGATGCTGAACAAGGCTGGGCAGAACAGAAGAACTTTGCTGGGATGCTCCCTAAACTGGGCTGAGCAAGGCTGAAAAGTAACAACTTTTCGTTGGAGCCTGAGGAGATTGCTACATTTCTGCCGGAGCTTCCACTTACCTTAGGGGCATGTTAGCCAAAGAAGTAACATCTTGGGCTGGAAAAGAAGTTGATGGCTCTGTTAGGACGTTCCCTTAGGGGAACAGAGCAGAGCTCAGCTGTAGCAGCTATCCAGAAAAAAAGTAAGATTGCTATATTCTGCTGGGAGACCATCCCCCCTCCCCTCCCCCGCACTGTACCCCAGCTTCAGGTAGCCTGACTTCCCAATAGGTCCCTCCAGGGTTAAGCTGTCCTTTTGGGACTCCGGTCTCCGGAACTGTAATATTGCACCTCAACCCCTCCAGAGCTGTCTTATTGTGGCTCCAGCCTCCAGAGCTGTCCTGTTGTGGCTCTCCCCCTCCAGAGCTGTCCTGTTGTGGCTCTACCCTCCAGAACTGTCCTGTTGTGGCTCTAATTATAGTCTGGCTTCCTGATAAGTCAGGATATCTTTGCAGCTCCAGAACTGTGATGCTTACATTTCCCTACAGAAAACACTACAAAGAATAAATGAAACAAATAGTTGGTTCTTCTAGAAAATCATCAAGATTGACAAATCTTTATCGAAACTCAAAAAAAGACAAAGAGGGAGAATATTCAAATTTACAAAATGAGGAATGAAAAGGGGGATGTAACGACAGAAACTAAGGAAATTCAGAGAATCGATCATCAGGTCATACTTCAAAAACCTGTACTCCACAAAATTGGAAATTTAAAGGAAATGCACAATATTCTGGATAAATACAACATACCAAAATTAAATCAAGACCAGATGAATAAATTAAATAGATCTATAACCCATAAGGAAATAGAAGTAGTCATCAAAAGCCTCCCCCCGCCAAAAAAAAAAAGCCCAGGACCAGATGCTTTCAGCACAGAATTTTACCAGAATTTGAACACTAATACTAATACTCCTCAGATTGTTCCACACAACAGAAGCAAAAGTAATACTGCCAAATTCTTTTTACAAGGCTACAGTTACCTGATCCTCAAACTACACAAAGACACAACTAAGTAAGAGAAATACAGACCAATCTTCCTCATGAGCACTGATACAAAAATACTCAATAAAATCCTGGCAAACCCAATCCAACAACTCATCAGAAACATCTTCCACCATGATCAAGTTGGCTTCATCCCAGAGATGCAGCGACAGTTCAACATACGAATATCCATCAATATAAACAAACTGAAAGAAAAAAAAACACATGATCATCTCATTAGATGCTGAAAAAGTCTTCGACAAGTTCCAGCACCCCTTTATGATAAAGGTCTTGGAGAGAACAAGGATACAAGAAACATTCCTAATCATAATAAAGGCAATATATACAGCAAGCCAACAGCCAACATGAAACTAAATGGAGAGAAACTCAAAGTGATTCCACTAAAATTAGGAAGAAGACTAGGCTGTCCGCTCTCTACATATCCATTCAATATAGCACTCAAAGTCCTAGTTAGAACAATAAAACAACCAAAGGAGATCAAGGGGATACAAATTGGAAAGGAAGTCAACCTTTCACTATTTGCTGATGATAGTATACATAAATGGCCCATAGAAATTCTACCAGAACACTCCAACAGTTGACAAAAAACCTTCAGTAATGTGGTAAGAGACAAGAATAACTCAAAAAATCAGTAGCCTTCCTATATACAGATGATAAACCGGCTGAGAAAGAAATCAGAAAAATATCACCCTTCACAATAACCACAAACAACATAAAATATCTGGGGGTAAGTCTAAACAAACAAGTGAAAGATCTGTATGACAAGAATTTTAAATCTTTGAAGAACAAAATTGAAAAAGATATCAGAAAATTGAAGATCTCCTATGCTCATGGATAGGAGATTAACAAAGTAAAAATGGCAATCTTACTAAAATCAGTCTACAGATTGAATTCAATATTCATCAAAATATCAACACAATTGTTTACAGACCTCAAAAGAACAATACTAAATTTTGGATGGAGAAACAAAAAACCAAGGATAGCCGAAATGACCAGGAGGCATCATGCCCCTGGCTTCAAACTCTATTATAGAGCTACAGTAATGAAAAAAGACTGGTGTTGGCATAAGAACAGACAGGTGAACCAAAGAAATTGAATTGAAGAAACTGATATTGACCACACACCTGTGAACACCTGATTTTTGAAAAAGAAGCTAAAAATATAAAAAGAGAAAAAGAAAGCAACTTCAACAAATGATGCTGGCATAACTGGATGACAACATGTAGAAGAATAAAAATAGATCCATATCAATTACCATGCATAAAATTCAAATCCAAATGGATCAAAGACCTTAACATAAAACCAACCACACAGAACCTCATGGAAGGGAAAGTGGGAAGTACCCTCGAACACATTGGTACATTAGACCATTTCCTAAATATGAGCCCAATAGCACAGACATTGGGGGAAATAATTAATAAATGGGACCTCTTGAAACTAAGGAGCTTCTGTAAAACAAAGGACACGGTAAACAAGTCAAAACAGCTGCCTACAGAATGGGGAAAGGTCTTCACCAACCCCACATCAGACAGTGGTCTGATCTCCAAAATATACAAAGAACTCAAGAAATTAGTCATCAAAAGAATAAATAATCCAAAAAAAAATGGAGTACAGACCTAAACAGAGAACTCTCAACAGAGGAGTGTAAACTGGCTGAAAGACATTTAAAGAAATGGTCAACATCCTTACTCATCAGAGAAATGCAAATCAAAACAACTCTGAGATACCATCTTATACCTGTAAGAATGACCAAGATCAAAAACACTGATGACAACTTATGCTGGAGAGGATGTACAGTAAGGGGAACTAAGGGGAACACTCCTCCACTGCAGGTGGGAGTACAATCTTGTCCATCTGCTGTGGAAATCAGTATGGCAATTTCCCAGATTAGGAATCAATCTACCTCAAGATCCAGCAATACCACTTTTGGGTATATACCCAAAAGAGGCACAATCACACCACAAGGATATTCGATCAACTATGTTCATAGAAGCACTATTTGTAATAGCCAGAACCTGGAAACAACCTACATGTCCTTCAACTGAAGAGTAAGGAAAATGTGGTACATTTACACAACAGAGTACTATTCAGCAGTTAAAAAAAAATAACATCTTTACATTTACAAGCAAATGGACAAAGCTATAAAAAATAAATAAATCGTGAGTGGTGTAACCCAGACTCAGAAAGACAAGTATAGCATGTACTCACTCATAAGTCTATATCAGACATAAACAAAGGATAACCAGCCTACAGTCCACAACCCCAGAGAAGCTAGAACCCTCTTCCAGAAACAGATGAAGCAGATGCAGAGATTCACAGCCACCACTGGGCCAAGCTCCAGGCAACGAGAAGGTCGAGTGATTATATGAACATAGGGAGTCAAGACCATGATGAGGAAACCCGCAGAATCAGCTGACCCAAACTAGTGGGAACTCACTGACTACTGACTGGCAACTGAAGAACCTGCATAGGGCCAAATTAGGCCCCCTAATACAGGTGACAATGGTGTGGCTTGGGTAATGTATAGGGCTACTGGCAGTGGTACAAGGATCTAACTCTAATGCGTGAACTGACTTTGTAGAGCCCATTCTCTATGTAGAGATACCATGATCAGCCTAGGCATAGGGGGTAAGACCTTGGTCCTGCTCAGTGAGGTGATGGGACAGTCATAGTTGACTTCCCAGGGGAGGCCTTAACCTCTCTGAGGAGAAGATAGGAGGAGGGCTGGGGGGAGTGTGGGGACGAGAAGGGAAAGGGAGAACTGGGATTGGTCTATGAAAATTAATTAATTAAAGGAAAACAAAAGCTGTGAAAGAGTCTACATAAAACCAAATGATTATGAGATTAGTGGCAATAAAATAGTCCTTAAATATTTATTTTAATTCTGTCCCATATGAGGTGACTCTTCTGACATGAGACAGAGATTCTGGATACTTTAATAAGTGTGCTTGGGTTTAGAGAAGGACAGAGTCCCACTCCAATTCCAAAGCTAACTTTAATCTTTAACTGTACTGTGACTACAAAAAGATCATTTGCATTATATGTCTGTAGAGAACAGAAGAAACAAACATTTGGGAATATTTATGAAATTTTATCCTGTTGGAGCTGTGATATATCAAAAGGCCAATTTACTCTTTCTCTTAGGTCTTTTTTTTCTGGATGATTTGTTCTTTTTCCTCAGATGTCTCATTTGTCCAGTGGTCTTCATATGTCTTAGCTGAACACATTTTTTCTTCTAAAAGGTAAAAAACAAAACCCTTTTCCAATCCTAATTTGGAGGAAGTTCTCTTTTGGAAAGTTATTTCTAGTCAAATGAAAAACATTTGTTAGTTTTATAGATTAGTTTAGATTAAATGGCCATGCCGCTTGATGAACTACCATCTCTTCTAATCAAGAGGTGTCTCAGTTCATCAGGTTTTATCCCAATAGTGGGCCATAGAAGAGATTGCGCTCTTTGACAGTCATTAAGAGTTTGCAATCAATATCTCCCAATTTGCACCTTTTGGAGTCTAATTGTCTGTAAA